GTTCTTTAATTCAGTTTATTGGGAAAAGTTTGGAGGTTTTTGTTTTTTAGAATAAAAGATTTTAAGGACTTTTTACCCTAAAAATTTTCCATAATTTTTTGTTTAAATCTTTTTATGAGACTGTTTTTGGGCTATTTTGAGGCTCTTTTTGCATAAAAAGTTTACCTATTTGTATCCTATAAATTATAGTTTGTTATTATGATTTTTACATAAAAAATTATATGTTTTTACCAAGTTTTAAAGGTTTTCTATACAGTTTTCAGATCTGATTTTTCTATAAAAATCAGTAAATTGTTAATTGTTTTATGGAAAATTCTTTGAAGTTTTATTTTATAAAACATAAAATTTTCCAGATTTAAAATCCCCAAATTTTCAATTGATTATAAGGCTTTTTAACCTATTTTGTTGAGAAACATGTTGTAAATTTAGTCTGTATTAATTTATACCGATTCTTTTATTTTTTAAAGGTTGTTATTGTTGATTTTAGAGGGTTTTTAATCCAGTTTTCAGATCTGCTTTTTAGCCCCAAATCCATACTTTCCTAATTATTTTGCATAAAAAATTGTTTTGAATGGAAAAAAAAAATTGGGTAGATTAGACTTGGTTAGTAATTTGTTGAATTTTAAATCCTTGGATAGGATTTAAGGATTGATTTTGGATATTGGTTGTTTATAAGCCTCTAAGTTGACAACTACCAAGGAAGAAGTTAATTAGATTCATAGGATTTCTGAAGGAGGTAAGTAATTTGTCATATCCCTTCGAAAAAGTATTGTAAGTGATTTACCGTATACCTTCAAAAAGTGTTGTAAGTGATTTGTCATATTTCAAACACTAAAATGTATTTTGGATTGGATAGGAAGATTTGAAATTGATATCTTGCATATGAAATTGAAGTTTTATTATGGATTTGAAAACTAATTTGGCAATTGAAATTATGTTTATTTGCAAAGTATTTGAAGTATTCTTAAATGATTTGATAAAGTTTTGTTTAGATTTATTTAAAGGTTTGAAATTGATATTTTCTTTATTTGTGAAATATTTGAAATCATGTTTTAGAGGATTGATAAAGTTTGTTTTAAATTATTTCAATGTTTTGAATTAATTTGATATTGAAAGTAAGTATTTGTTTTGCATTTTATTTGAAAGATATTTTGATTGATTTGATAGGGCTAACCGGATATGCCATGATTTTGTTTTGAGGAACGTTTTGCTTATTTGGGGTAGTAGCTTAATTTGGAATTGATGAATTTCTGTTCTGGCTTATTTGTGGGAAGACACTTTTACGGTTTGGCTTTTCTTGGGAATGAAGATTCATGTGTTATTCACTCACATGGCTTCACACTTAAGTAACTTTGTTCTGGTCGATACTATTTTGACAACTCTGTTCTGGTCGATATTAATTCAACAACTCTGATAGAAGCTTCTGATTGATTTGGGTTACCGATGGGTAACCACATATGTTCTGTAGGCTACCCAAATAGTGCAACCTTCCACTCCGATTTTGAAAGTATGAATGAATGTAAGATTGTTTTGAATGTTTGAATGATTTAGTTATTCGAAAGTTTGAAAGTTGTACCAAATGTTTTAGAAGGAATTTTGAAAGTTTTGATTGGAAGAAAGTTTGTTTCGAAGGGTTTTGAGTTTGATCAAATGAAAGTTTGTTTTGAATGAATGAAAGTCTGTTTTGAAAGAATGAAAGTTTGTTTTGATTGACTAAAAATTTTACCTTATTTGAAGACTTTGTTTCTGAAAATTTAGTTTGTTTTGAAAGTTTTGAAAATTGTATTAAATATTTTAAAGGACTTTAAAAGTTTTGATCTGTTCGTATTTTCGTTTAAGAATGTTTTGAAAGGAAAATTGAATTTCGAAATTCGATATGGAAATTGCTTATTGAGTATTTTTGTACTCATCTTTGTTTTCCTAAATGTTTTTCAGATGAAGGATTGAATGATCATTTTGGTAGAAGATGAAGTTTAGCGTACTGGTATGAGTTTGAAAGTCATCTTCCTATTTAGTTAAGTTAGTTTACAAAAATTCTGTAAAGAAATTGCTTCCGCTGAATAATTTTAGTTCTTAAGGTTTCTTGAAAGTTACGTTTCGCATTTTGTCAGAATGACCGTATTAGAAAATACGGGTTGTTACAAACTCACACTAAAACAACTTGGGTTGGGAGTGGGTCAATGCCAAAGGGGGTGGGTATCACTAATTTGTCTTCGAACAAGAGTGAGTCAATGCCAAAGGGAGTGGGTAGCGTAAGTCGAGCTTCTAATATGTGTGGGCCCACGTCAAAAATCACCGGGTTGTTGACGATCGTGTCGGGATTGCAAATTGACCACTAGATGTGTCGATTCACATGTTGGTCGCGGGTCGTCACCAGGGAAGGTTACGGGTCTGCTCTAAGACGTCGTTCGCAATCGAGGAGGGAAGAAATCGCACGCCGCCATTGCTCGAACACGCCACTAAAGGGAGTTGTTCGCAGATCAAGCATAGCAAGGAAAGTGACGTCAGAACTGCTGCAGAACTCGCCGAAACACCACCGCACACGCTGAAACACTGTTGAAGACGACGGATCTGCTCTGTCCGTCATGTCCCACCACTATTGGAAGTCACTGCGGGTCGTGGAGTCCCCACCACGGAGGGTTGTGTCGCCATTAGGGTCGTGCGGGTCTACTGCCGTCATGGATTGCTTCAAAAAACGACGGAGGACACTACTGCAAGGAGGAGATACTGTCAGCATCGAAGAATGGGAGAAAGAGGAAGTTGAAGATGCGTTAGGGTTTGCTTCTTTCCTTTATTTTTTTACCAAAACTAAATACGATGTCAGAAAGGATCCAATAAATAGGATTTTCTTTTCCTAACCCTTTTGATAAAATGAGACCCACTTTAAAAAGGTTTGGAAAATTTATTTAAGAGACTACTTAATTTTAAAACCCAATAACCTAAATTCACAAGGAAAATTAAATTTCCAAAACTTGAATTAAAATTTAGTTAAAAAAAATCTCTTTCCAACATTTGAAAACTTAATTTATTTTAACTAACATAACTAAACTTAAATTCGAATTTACCAAAAATTAGAACTCCAAAATTAGAAGATCCAATGATTAAAATTATCCAAATGGGGAGAAATCCAAATGTCCATATTAAATCTTAAAAAAATAATCTGAGAACTTGGGGCGTTGAAACTGCCACGAAACCCTCAGACAAACAGCTCAAAATCGGCTACAAAATAACTCTTTTTTGGCTTCAAAACCCTAAACCAGAACAACAGTATTTATAGACATCAAAACAGTGTCATGGCGTTGTCCCCAGCGCCATGGTGCTGCTGACGCAAAGACGTGCCTGCACGCCCACCAGAACAGCGTCGTGATGCTGTCTCCTAGCGCCGCGACGCTACCTTCTCGGCCAGTGTGGCCTGCAGCGCCCCGATTCCCTGTTTTCATCCCCACTTCGACCCGACGCGTCCCAGCTTGATCCCGACTCATCCCTAATTCGTTCCGGCGTCGTTTTGACTCCACCAATCCCAACCGTTACTTTATTTACTGATGAATAGTATTTTACTTCTAATTTGGAATTGAAGTATACTCCTTTTTTTACTTTCTTTAATCCTTATCTTCCATATTATATTTCAAAACTTGAGATTGAAGGTATACTACTTTTTATTGGGTTAACTAGTTCCAGTGTCATTGGATTTTAAGTGTGACATGAACTAGAAAGAAAATTTCCTAATATGTTGGGATAATTATGTCTAGAAAAATGCCTCTAAGTCTAAATAGATATGTTGATGGATGGTGGCATGACAATTATAATTGGTGTGAGGAGGTGATTTGGCAAAGTCAATAGAGAATGGATAGAGATGTGAGGAAATAAAATAGAAAACAATGTCTGGCTTCTCAAAGGCATTCTTGGATAACGGCCTTAGATTTGCAGGCTTATAAATTGTATGAACCTACAATTGGTCTAAAATGTTTTTTAACGGCCAACTTACTTTATGCAATCTACCTCCTCCAAAACCAATGACAATGACAGATAAATAACAACCTTGTGTGTACTGTAAGAATCAACAAAAACCTAAATCAACAAAAACCTATACTCTACTACCACCTTATTCTCTTATCACTAAAAAAATTACTGTAAACCAAAGAAAAAAAAACAAACACCAACCAAATGAATCAAAAAATCCTTACTCCACTACCACCTAATTGAATTATTGGGAACTCACTTTTACTTGGACTTGAACAGAACTTGCTTTCTCACAGAAGTACCTGTATGTATGTTAGGAGCTAAATGAAGCCTATATTTCTTTTGCCGACAAAGAAAGTTAGTAGACTTATATTTCATTTATGTGAGGCCTTATCCATATTCGTTTACAATGAAGCCCTTTTCTGTTTCGATTTCGGGGCGTGATGAAAGTTTGGGATTATTTTTTTAATTGATAGTTGTGATAGTAGGTGTGTGTTGAAATTGGTGAACTACGGGAGGTTGAGTTTACTATTAAGTTTGACTTGGTCTTAGTTTAGCATATTTATCACATTACCCAATTGGCTAATAGTCAATGTTTAAAGGAATTGCACAAGATATTGGAGTTGTAATGCTTTGGTTTCTTTCTCATTATTTGTTTCTTATTATGAAAAGAGAGTAAAATTCTTTTGTGTTTGATATCTTTTAAGATTTTAGCCTCTTTAAGATTCTTTGTATTGTATTAAGTACTTGGATCTGGTAAACTAATTTGGAGTTGCCAAATTTAGTTGTTTTTAAGCATGACAACTTCTATGATTGTTGTAATGGGTAGATAGTGGATCAAGTGATAGTATAGAATTTTATTTTTGATTTTTTAGCTAGTTCGAATTGCTAAACATTCATAATTGTTTTGTTTTGTTTTTTAGGGACTTTTGGTAATTACTATTCTTCAAGCCTTCACGTATTAAGAGATTAGATAGAGTCGGTCTTTGTGGATATTTTGTTATGATGTAACTTTTGTAACGCATACACTTTAAACTCTCTTTTTTGTAACATCATATTACGAGGATGTTATTTTATTTAACATTTTGATATATATTTGATATTTGATATTTTGATATATAAATAATGTGAATTGAAATATCATAAATTAGGTCGCTAAATCTCCGGGATTTTAATTATCATAAGTAACGAGGGAAAAAAATCCTGACATTTTTTCAAAAAAAGTTGCAAAAAGTCAACCTTTCTCGACTTTTTGAAAACGGTCGTGAAAAGTTGACTTTTCCTGACTTTTTGAAACCATTGGGAAAAGTCAACTTTTCCAAACTTATTGTCAAATACGTTGGGAGTGACATTTCCCGACGCGCTTCTCTCGACTTTTTTGCCGATGCATATATTTCATCGGGAAAAGGAGCTCCTGGCATTTTAAAGATTTTTCCCGACTTTTTTTAAGTGTCGGAAAAAGACCTCATTTGTTGTAGTGATGCTAAGTTTTGTCTCTGAGAGTGAAGCACCCTAAAAACACCTTGAGAAAATTGAGTGAAACTCCGTGATGGTGTCAAGTCTTTTACATTTTAATTTTAATGAGTTAATGAGATACTTGAGTTTTTATAAATTATAACTTATCAATGCTTATTCACTTGATTGTCATTATGATTCATCTCATTGATGTATGATTTTATCGGTATTTTGGATATTGAGAAATATAAAAAGGAGTAGTGAGGGGAGTCATCCCTTCCAATTCCTTCACACATAATAATTTAAAAGTGCAATTTTAGAGGATAATGCATACTTCACCAAATTGGGAACAACTCAACGGATAAAATACAGACACTATTATTATGACAAAACGCTTCAATTTGAGAATTATGAATTTTTAGGATATTTTGTAAATAAAGAAATATAATCAAAGTAGGAAACATAATTCTTAATTGATTAGGAACTCTTTTAGTTAATTTGTTTTCTTTTAAATAGAAGCTTCTCACTTAGTGAGGAATTCCTTATTAGAGATAATTTCTCTTTAAAAGAGGATAAAGTTAATCTCTATAAATAGATGAGGCTTATTAGAAGATCAATCAAAGTTCCAACGAAAACCTCTCTTCTCCTAAATACAATTTCTCTCACTACCATGCGTGGTTAGACTTTAATTTTTCCAACTCAAGGGTAATTCAAGTCCGATTATAAGCTTGGGAGGCTCAAGTTAGATAAAAATTTCTTTTTTTTTTTTTAAGTATTCTTTGTTTCTTGTTCTTATTATTTGTGAACAGTTTATATTAATTAAATTGACGCCTTAATTCAATATTAATTGTTCTACTGCTACCCATGAGTTTGTGATCCATAATTTTCATGCATGATTGAAATAAGTAGCAAGGAGTCGGCTTATGTTTGTATATTTATGGTTTTTCCATGTTTACATCGCTTGCATAATAGACTCTAGGGAAACAAAGGGACAAAATTAATTAACTTGCAACTATCTCAAATTAATTGATTTTGGTTTAGTCATTCTCATTATCCATAATGCTATTATTTGATTAATATGGAATGTTATCGTGCCCAGTTGATTAATTAATAAGATTCAATTTTGATGTTTGGTCTACATTAATTAAATTAGGAGAACTAAAACTTACCACAACTATTCCAAGTAGACTAAGTTCTTGAATCAAGAAACCAATTTTGTGTAAAGCGTATGATCAAGATTATAATTAGATGAAAATCATACCTTCGGATTGGAAGTTTCGTAAGATTGATTTTTGTTTTCCTTTTAGTTTATCCATTTAAATTTCAAAATTTAAATCCAGAACCCCCCATTTTTTAACTTTGAGAAATTAATTTCATTGGTTCTCTTGGGATTCGACCTCGTCCCACTACTTTTACGAGTTAGATTTAGTAAAATTAGTAATTATTTTGGAGGGTTTCGACAACCCTTAGCACTCACCAAGATTCATTCCTTCATCATCATCCAACTCATCATTACGAACAGTTTCTCCCACAGCCTCATTTGTTTCTCCAACTTGCTAACCTATTTGCTCCTCTTTTTGCAGCATCCAGACTTTAAAGGCAATTTGTAAATAAGCTCCTCAAAAAAATTTAAAGAGGAATTACCCGAAAATGATTTTGACACCAAAATTCCCTCGACTGCCAGTAAACTGCAATTTTTTCATTATTCTTAGCAAAAAGATAGTAGATTCAGTGGTGCAACAGAAGAAGACATGACATGAAGTAAGATAAGGAGCATAGAGTCTACGTAATGGCAATTCTTATATGACCCTAATTTCTAAGACTAAGCATGAAATATGTTCTTCATAAAACATTTCAGAATGATGTTCATGATGGAGAAAATACATACATGCGCAGCGGAAGTGAGCAAGAATCGAAATAACAATCTAGATGCATAATACAACCTAGGATTAAACATGCATGATCATACATTATGATGCTTAGAGATAAGTAGAGAAAAATACAAACCTTTGTAGCTTTTCAAAAATCTTCAAATAGCTCCAATGAAGGACCACCAAGAGATCTTCCTAGCTATTCTCAAGGCTTGGAATAGAGTGGTGAGACTCTTTTTAGAGAAGGAAAAAATTAGAGAAAAGTGGAGCTAAAAGAGTTATGTAAGCTTTTTGAAAACACATCAAATGGCCAAAGGTTCCAAGAAGCCTTGATGTTTGAACAAAAGCCTTCTTAAATAGGCAAATTACATGCAACTCTTGCATGTCAAAGTTCACCAAAAGCTTACAACACATATTCCACTCATGCATGGCATGACTAAGTGTCAAAATGCATGTCTAAGTTCACCAAAAGCTTACAACACACATTCCACTCATGCATGGCATGGCTAAGTGTCAAAAAGTGGATTTTTGAGATTATTTAAATGTTCCACTCAACAAGTTAGTGGAATTTTCCACCAACTTGGTTAAAAACATTATTTTAATCTACTTTAGTCAACCTTTGACTTTCTCTGGTCAAAGTCAACTATTTGACTTTTTCCAAAATCCGATGTTTGATGAAATCCATGCCTCCGATTATGAATACGCATTCATAATTTTAATATTTAAATCCTATTTAAATATTTTGTCCAAATTTCTCAAATTGATATCATATATCAATTACTTAATCATATCTCATATGATTAACCTAATTCGTACGATTTGAATTATTCCTTCAAATTATTCCAAGTTTATTCCTATATGAGCTAGCCAGGGGACCTTATGGACCTACAGATCATGAGCTCCAACGATCCGAGATTAACCGGTTAAACTCTTTAACCTAGTTAACCAACAATCGTTAACTACGCGGTCACTCCACTAAAGCCCGTAGCTGCACTCTCCTCACTATAGATATATTATGTCCATTTGATATAACCATGATCGGTAAGTCGACCCTTCACAGGTTGTTCGTAATTACAGCTGGGTCAAAATACCGCTTTACCCCTGTAATTACCTCTTGTTCCTTAAGTCCCACTAATCCTCTGATGAACAATGATTTGTAGTCCAACTATCAAATCAAAAAATCATCTCAAACCTTTTGATGAGGGTGGCGCCAATTGTTCAAGACCTGGATTCAGCCCTTAAGAGAACAACCTCTCTACTATCCCAAAATTGGGTAGAAGTGAATTCCTTCTTGCACCCTATGTCCCTAGCTATCTACCGGGTCTTACCCCTGAAATGGGAGGCTTATTGAGCCAGCGCTGTTGAGCTGCTCTCACCCATGCAGATCTAAGGATAATCCCGAGTAAACAGAAGTTCGTAGTTAGCTCAAGATTAAGATCGAGTTACCTAGGCCATCAAAGTTGAGATAGTCAGTTTCAAACAGTAAACGGTGTTATAAAGTAAAAGTGACTATCTCATGGTCCGGTCTTATGCAAACTCTTTGCACGGGACACCCCCACTCGTATGTCTTCACATGAACGAATTAGGATCACATCGTTTGTACTAGCTACAAAGTGGGCCGCATCCATAGTGTCCCCAGAATAAGGCGCCCAACCTTATTCCTATACTATAGACCATTTAGACTGTTAACTCAAACTTGATCCATATTTATGTCTCTTACATAGAGTTTGAGTCTCAGGTAACAGTCTAGGATCCTTTATTTTATTGAATTTAGATATAGTAAGAACATTTTATTGGATTAATAACTACTTATTGATTAAAACCTTCAATAACAACTTTATTGAATATAAAAGTATATCTGTCATTTTCAAACTATGAGTTTTAGGACATAAAACCCAACAGTTCAACCGAAGAAAATACTTCCACCTATAAAAGCACATGACTAAGCACACATGAACAAAACAACTTTCTGTCACCAATGAAACAAGGCTCATAAAACTCCCTCGATTAAGCTGATGAGTAAAAAAAAAGGGCACCAAGTGGTGCTTTTCTTGGACATTCCACATTTAAGTCTTATTTTGTTTCTTCTTATGGAATAATACTAACTACTCTTTGCCTTACCCCTTAGTTAGTTTATTGGGAACTTCAATCCTTTACTAAGAAAATAAGATTGAAAAAGTAAACAAGCATGAAACTAATGTACGGAACTTCCCTCATATAGATGTTGATTTAAAGAATATTAGAGGCTTTCAACTTTCAACTCATGTCCTCAAGTTCACTCAATATCTCTTCTGCTACTGCCACGTCGCAATTTTGCTTATTCAAAGCACGGTATTCTTGAAGATCCAGCTCGAGGGGCAGGTAACTTACTTGTATGAACTTATTTTTGAAACGTGGAATTGCGGTTATCTCTTTTGCATAAAATTCTTCTTTTGACCCTATCTCATCTTCTCCTATTTCTTCCTCTACTTGATCCTTCAAATATATGGTCAGCTCTCCCTTCTTTATATCTTGATTTGTCTCCATAGAATTCTAAGGGAAGGGGAAAGTGGTCCAATATCGAGAAGTTATGGGTTTATGTCCATTGCAACCTTATGTGAAATTTTCGTTATACTTACCTCTACTAGTTGCTCGGGTTCAACTTTCTTATTCTGCCCTACCTCGTTCATCACATTAGGGGCTGGTAGATCATTGTTGTCCACTAGGATCTCAGGTTCGACATATTCAAGATCGCTACATACATTTGTTGCCTCACTTGGCTCTTTTCCTTCTCTCATTGGGGGCTCCATGTTGGTAAGCAATGATTCAAGTAAAATATTTCTCTGCTCATCGAACGACTTCCCTATTCAGATCTATAGGTTGCCAATTGCTGCGTAATTTTGGCCATAAAGTCTATCATCAACTCTTCAAGGCTAGAATTTTTCGATGATTGTATTTGCTTTGGCATCAATGGTTGATTGTACTCTTTCTGAGGCTGTGTAGGGAATTCTGGGACTGCATGCTCGTATGGATTGATACTTTCAACTTGATGTTTTTTCCACACGAAATTCAAATAATCCCTATACTCTTGATTGTATGAATTTGAATAAGAGGTGAATTCTTGTTGATTCCATGGTTGACCTAGATAATAAAAATATGAAGGATTAGATAAACAATATTCAATTGAATGGCGACTATCACCACAATATAAACAAAAGAATTTATTAACAGGAGTGATGGGCATGCTACTTCCAATGGGTAGGTTATACATAAATTGAGGATCCATTTCAAACACTCATTCTGGTTGTTGGTTCAATACAATTAACATCTCCTACTTTTTCATCCTTCTCTTTTTTTCTATTTTTCTTCTGTTTCCTTGATTTCTGTTCTCGCCTTAACCTCTGTAACAACTCCTGCAAGAAAGCCTTTGTGCTAAAAAAAAACTTTGCCCTTTTTAAGGTTAGATATAACAATTAGTCACAAGGAACAATGGTATGGAGCAATCACAATATGAAACACATCACTTAAAAATAAAATAATTTTGAAAATAAGTCTATGGCAACAGCACCAAAAACTTGTTGAAAATTCTTCTCAATAGACAAGAGAAACACGCAAGTGCACACGGTCACAAGTAATGTAGAGATAAGTAATTCTAAGATCGTATCCTCAAGGACTTTTGATTCAAAACGAATTAAAATAAAATATTTCAAACTGCAATAGAGTTTTATTGGTAAAATATGGTTTATAAAGTCGTGATTTGGTTTTTCAAATATCAAACTACTTAATAAAAAACAACTCATCTGCTTCCTGCCTTAGTTTTGGACAAAATGACACACTGGAGAAAATAATGTGCCATGCGCTACTTTACAATTTTTTTGAAACTGAGTTCTACTCTTATCACGAACCACTTTTAGTTATTTCGAAGCCTAGTGTAACCTACTGTCATATTTTTATGCGTGGTTACAATCCTAGAATGTTATTATTAACTCATTTGCTTTTATAGGTTAAAGGGCCTATATTTAGAACCGTGATTTATGCGCTTATGTCTAACTCACATCCCATATTAATTCCCTATTATTTTACTTAACCTAACCTTTTTAGTATTAGGCTTCAATGTTTAGCTAAACTTTTCCTAGCGGCCAACTTAAGAAATCGCTTTAGGAAAGATGTTGAGGAATTAACTAAGAAATGCACCATGCGCAACCTAGGTTTTTCCATCCATGTAAAAATTAAATAGATTTTCCTAATGCAATCCACAAAGAGGTTGAAAACAAAATTAGTGCATAATGAAAGAATGGAAAACGCTCAAAGAAATAAGAAAAAAACTTTCTATTGATTAAATTTGAAGAATATCAAAGGTACAACGAGTCCTAGCTTAAACCTCTTCTCTTTCAAGCTTGACGAGAGTTAAACTTGCTTGAAAGCGTTTAAAGAATGAAATAAACAAAGTACAAATAAATTAAAACTTGTAATGTATTAAAACAAAGCTTAATAAATGAATGTGATAAAGACTATGTTCCAAAAGCAATAAAATATAAAGAAATAAGAACAAGCTGGTTCTAAATGAAAAACTAAAACTAAAACTAAAATGAATTAAAGATTGCATGAACTATATGTTGAGGAATCTCTTTAATTTATAGACTTAGAGATGGTTGTAACTTGCCACTAAAATAGGAGGAATTAAGTGCTAAAATAATAGGATTGTTGGAGAGAATCAAGGTAATTAAGTGGTTGGAGAGAGTCAAGGTAGTAAGATAATTAGGTGGTTGGGAGGTTGGAGAGAATCAAGGAGCTTTGTTACACATGTTTTGGGAATTTGACTTCATACTAAAACCACCCAATAATCATTGACTTGATTAAGTCCGACGTGTGAAATGACTCCATTGTCCACAGTTAAAAACAATGCATTTTAATGATTCCTCTAGGATAGTTGACTGGGGGAGCGGACTTTGGAAATGTCCTCGGTGTCCTTGCATCAAAACTTGTGTTTCATTAAAAAGCCCATTAAAAAGTGTCAGGTGCTACTCCCCTGCAGAATAGAAAATCATGAGTTTATGCTATGTTTGACAATAAAATATCTACTTTTATCTCAAAATATTCTACTTTGCATTTTATCCATAATTGTTAAACGCTTCTCACTCTTTAACAATATGTAATCACTTTTAGCAAAATAGGGGAAGAAAGGGGTCATTTTCATAC